CCCCCAGCCCCTGCCCACCCCGGGAGCCTGGTGTGGCCTCACACAGCCTGGGCTCCTGCTGCTGCCCCAGGGGAAGGGTCCCTGCCACCCTCCTGCTGGCTCCTGTCCCTGTGGGCTCAGGGCTTCCTCGTGCTCCTAAAGCAGAGGGAGGCACCTCATCCACAGCAGCTGCACCCGCCTGCGTGGGCCCTCGGGGCTGTGCACAGGAAGGAGCAAATGCTCAGCCCCAGACAGGGAAGGTTTGACCTCTTCCCTGCCTTGGAGCATCTCTGCTGTCTGCTTTGGGCTCCTGTATCCTCTGTCACATCCAGCTGAGAAGTGGCAGCGGGTCAGGTTCCAGCTCACTGGCTGTTCTGCAGCCCCACCACCAGCTCGGAGACCTCACCAGGGTGATGGTGCCCAGCAGGGCAGTGCCAGCCCCGCTCCTGCCCTGGAGGCAGAGGGCTGTGTCTTCCCAAATTCCAGCTGGGGATTCCGGGTCGGCCCTCACCTTCTCAGGGCCACCCTGTGCCCTCCCAGCAACAAGCTTTAGTTGCATCGTGGTTTCTTTCTCTGTTGTTTAAAACCAAACCAAAAACAAAACAAAAAGAGGCAGAAGAAGAGCCTTAATTGCTTCTCTCCAAAGTCCCTGTGTGCCCCTGTGCCCGAGCGTGTGGCACAGGCCAGCACGTCCCATCGGGGCACCGGGGGCAGGCGGGGCTCGGCGTCTCGGTGCCTCGCCGCGTGTTTCTTGTCTGTGAGTTGACCAGTGCTGAGAGTGCACGCGAGGAATGTCCCTGTCTCGTTCTTATTTTAAACCATTAGTCAAGATGAGGATGAGGAGGACGATCTTCTTCCCCCAGAGCAAAAAGCCGAGAGAGAGAGAGAAAGGAGGGTCGCCAATAATGCCCGTGAGCGCCTGCGGGTCCGGGACATCAACGAGGCCTTTAAAGAGCTCGGACGCATGTGCCAACTGCACCTAAACAGCGAAAAACCGCAGACCAAACTGCTAATCCTACACCAGGCCGTATCAGTCATACTGAACCTGGAGCAACAAGTTAGAGGTCAGTGAGGGTCCCGGAGTGGTGATATTTTACGTATCTGATCGGCACGGGGCTGTCTGTCTGTCTGTCTCCTGTGACGTGCTGTGGTGCCTCGCACTGTCTCTCTCCCCTGTGGCCTTGGGGACCAACCCAAGGCTGTTGATGTCCTTTTTGTTTTTATTTTTTTTTGCCTTTTTTTGCATCCCTCCCTGCTGTTCTCTCCTCCGTTCCCCACTGCCCCTGCGTGTGCTGCATGCCCTGCGCCGTCACTCCCCCGCAGCCAGGGCTGCTCCGTGCTTGGCCAGCTTGGAAAACCCCCAGCCAGCAAATCTCCCAAAGGGACCCAAATCTGCCATCGCCAAGGGCTGCTCCGAGCACAGAGCACATCCCTGTCCCGCCTCATGCCCAGCGGGGCTCTGCACTCCTGTCCCACCTGTGTGGCACCCGGCAAACCCCTGGGATCACCGGAGCTGTGCCAGGGGCAGCGGGATGCCCTGGGCTGAGCAGCCCTCGCTGCCTGCACGGGCTGGTCCCAGACAAAAGCTGGGAGCTCTGCGCATTCTGAGCTGAGCCTGGAGCTGCCGGTGGGTGCGTGTAGGGTCTGCCCCTCACCAGGGCACCCTCACCTCCTTCCACACGTGTGTGCACCATCTCCTGTGTGCACCCATCTCCCGTGTACACCATCTCCTGTGTGCACCATCTCCTGTGTGCACCATCTCCCGTGTGCACCATCTCCCATGTGCACCATCTCCTGTGTGCACCATCTCCTGTGTGCACCCCTCTGCACCCCCCCTGGGTGCTGCATCCCCGTGGGATGGGAAGTGGAGGGCTCGGTGTCCCGCTCCGGAGGACTTTGCTGCTTTGTTCCCGCCTCCCGCAGTGCATGTTCCCGCTCCAGCCCGGGGGGCCGGGGCAGGATAACCCCCTTTCTCTCTGCAGAGCCTGTCGTAACACGCGTCGGGGGCTGTGCCTGGCTGTGCTCCTCTCTGCTGGCCTTGCTGTGCCTTGATGTTGGAGTCCTTTGTGCCTCTCTTCAGTTTGTAATTTTTTGCCTTTCATAACATGTATATTTTTTCCTGTCTCTTTTTTAATTTCCCCTTCCTTTTGATTTTTTTTTTTCCATTTTATTTCGAGTTTTTATTTTTTGGTTCTGTTCTTTCCGATCTCCTACAGACAGTCCCCAGCCGTGACCTCTCGGTGGTCCCACTCTACCTTGTACTTGCTGCTCACGGATCCCAGGCAGGACCGAGGGGGGCAGGGCTTAGGCAGAGTTGGCACCGTGTTCACTTTGGTCTCCCACGCTTGTCCCTTTTTAAACCCTTCCTGGAGGCAGCCAGGGAAGTGGCTGAGCCCTCAGCAGTGTTAGTGCAGGCAGCCTGTGTCCCCTCTCTGTGGGTTTCCAGGAGAGAATCCCACTCTCACACCCCATGGAAATGGGGCTGCCAGGACCCTCCTGCTGCCACAGTAGCTATGGGGCAGGAAGGGAAAGGAGGAGATTGAGGGGTTTTAGGGAGGTCGGTGACCCCTTGGATCGGGGCACAAGGCAGCCAGAGCTGCCCTATAACCCCCTGTGCTGGGGGCAGGGAGATGGCTCCGTCCTGCCCAGGAGTGACATCCAAGCTGTGACATCCCAGGAGAGCCACCAGCCAGGACCCGTGGCCACCAGCCTGAGCTGGGAGGAGCGAGCTGGGGTCCTGCTGTGGGGTGGCCCCATCCCCCTGCCCATCCTGGGTGTGTGGAGAGACGGTGGCAGTGCCAGCTGGGGCAGCGAGGAGGGGACAAGGACAGGAACGAGGCAGCAAGGAGAGGCTGCAGGCAGGGACAGTGGGCAGCCCTCTGTCCCACACAGGCAAACCACTGCCTGGGGAGCACTTGCTCCCCCTTCCTGTGTCCATACACCACTCAGAGGCCCTCCAGCCCCCCAGGAAGGCTCTGCTTCTGCAGCCCCTCTTCACTGAAGGCTTATCCCCACATGGCTCCCCTGGAAGGCCACAGTCTGTCCCAGTGCCAGGGCTCACCCAAGGACCCTCCTCAGATAGGTGTCTTCCTGCAGGAAATTTTGCTCTGGGGGAGAAGGTCGTCTGTGAATAAATTGGGGTTTTGGAGGGGTCGGGCTGCGGGCAAGGCCGTGGTTCAAGGTGCTGCCAGGATGACTCTGCCTGCCCCCTGGCCTGGCCTGTTTCGGGCGTCCATGGGGTGCTGTCGGCAGCAGAGGCTCTCCCAGAGCTTCTGAGTGTGTCTGGAAAAGAAAATCACCCCCTTCTGGTGGGATCCAGTGTCTGCATCTGAGTCTGATCCTCAGCAGCAGCCCAGGCACTTGGCTCCTGCCCCTGGTGCTGCCCCCAGCCCCTAAGAGGGTGCCAGGCCAGGCTGCTCCTGCTGCTGTGGCACCACTGCCACAAACGCCTTCACTGGGAGGTGCAGGTGGAGTTCTGGAAGGAAATCTTACAAAGAGGGATTTGCTTTCAGCCAAAAAGTCTTTTTTTGGGGTTCAGACCTGATGTTTTTGGCTGAGACCCATCCCCCAGACTTGGAGTTTTCAGCCGAAAACAAAAACAGGGAGGCAAAATCTTGCAGAGGAGAGAAGGTGTCGGTGTCGATGCTGCATCACTGCCCCTGCAGCAGCACCCTCCAGCCCCAAGGGCATCCTCCAACCCTGTGGGCACCCTCCAGCCCCATGGGCACCCTCCAGCCCCAAGGGCATCCTCCAGCCCCAAGGGCACCCTGCAGCCCCATGGGCACCCTCCAGCCCAGTGGGCATCCTCCAGCCCCAAGGGCATCCTCCAGCCCTAAGGGTATCCTCCAGCCCCAAGAGCATCCTCCAGCCCTGTGGGCACCCTCCAGCCCAGTGGGCACCCTCCAGCCCCATGGGCACCCTCCAGCCCTGTGGGCACCCAGCCTCATGCTGGCAGCACCTTCACCTGGCTCGCAGAGGTGACACAGCCCAGGCCACTCCTGGAAGGACCCAGAGGAACTGGCTTTGCAAAGTGAGGCTGTTTGGGCCGTTTCCAGTGGACACCAGGAGCACTCCCAGCACGGCAACATATAACCCCCCCTTGGTACCACCCCCTGACTAACCCCTGTGGTGCTGTGAACCCAGCAGTACAGACGAGGCCTTGTCACTGGAGGACAAAGATCTGAGGGACCGGGAGAGGAGGATGGCCAATAACGCCAGGGAGAGGGTGCGTGTGCGGGACATTAACGAGGCCTTTAAGGAACTGGGACGAATGTGTCAGATGCACTTAAAAACGGACAAAGCACAGACCAAACTGATCATCCTACAGCAAGCGGTGCAGGTCATTCTGGGCCTGGAGCAGCAAGTACGAGGTATGGTACCAGCTGGCAGGGGCACTCCGGGCCTGTCTGTCCCTCCTGTCTCTGCATGTCCGTGCATCTCTGTCCTGACTCCTGCTTTCGGTGCGAGGTGTGTGTTTGCAGTGCCAGCAGCACCCCTGGGGGCTGGCTGAGCTCTCCCTGGCCCCAGCCCGGGATGGATTTGAGGCTGCTCTCTCCCTCTCCCCTCCTGCCTAATGGGAATTTGGCACCTGGATCCCATTAAGCAACTTTGGAAAACTCAGTCCTCAACTCCGAGAGCTGGTTGAGGCACGTGGGGTTCCTGAAACAGGCACATGGGGAGGCCCTGGCACAGGTTGCCCAGAGCAGCTGTGGCTGCCCCATCCCTGGAAGTGTCCAAGGCCAGGTTGCACAGGGCTTGGAGCCACCTGGTCTAGTGGAAGGTGTCCCTGCCCATGGAACTGGATGATCTTTAAGGTCCCTTCCAACCTAAACCATTCTGGGATTCTGTGTTTAAATTGGTGTGGGAGTCCAGCCAGACCTGGGGTTCTGCTCGAACAGGGGTCCAGCCAAATTCCTGCAGGCACAGCAGGGAGCAGCTGCACGGGGCTTGTCCCCCCATGTGGTGCCGTGGGGCTGCTCTGGGGCTCTGTCCTCGCTCTCCCCCCTGGATGCTGCTGCTGCCCTGTGTGATGCTGTTGCCCACACTGAGGCTGCTCCCCCTCCCTGTTCCTGGCACAGAGCGCAACCTGAACCCTAAAGCAGCCTGCTTGAAGCGTCGGGAAGAGGAGAAAGTGTCCGGAGTGGTAGGAGACCCCCAGATGACACTTTCAGCTTCACATCCTGGTCTAGGAGACGGTCACAACCCTGTTGGACACATGTAAAGGTACCATTTTTCCCCCGTGATGCCACACCCCGACCCCGTGCCGACACGCATCGCTCTGCTGTGGCTGCTCAGCCCCATTCCCTCAGCACCAGCCAAGGCCCTGCTTCATTTACCTGAAATCAGGGACTTGCACGTGTCCAAGGCACTGGCACAGGTTGCCCAGAGAGGCTGGGGACACTCCATCCCTGAAAGTGTTCAAGGCCAGGTTGGATGGGACATGGAGCAACCTGGGCTAGTGGAAGGTGTCCCTGCCCATGGCAGGGGATTGGAAGGAGATGAGCTTTAAAGTCCCTTCCAACCCAAACCATTCCATAATTCTTTGTGCATGTCATGTGCCCTGTGGACACCCAAAGCCTCTGGCCCACAGGAGTTGCAGCCCCATGGCTGGGATGGGGGGTTTCTGTGCTCTCCCCACCCTGAGTGAGCTCATCTCTGCTCTGCATCTCCCAGACCTGCTCCAGTTGGCCACTGGAAACCAGCAACTCCTTTTCCTTGCGGCTCTACGGGAGGGAACGGGCAGGTTCCAGAAATTCCAGGAGAGTCAGAGAAGGTGAAAAATCCTTCACTGGAACTGTAGCAGGCACAGGCTCTGAGGGTCTGTTCCCATTTTTAGGGGGACCCTGTGCTTGGCCAGGAGCAGCCGAGCCTGTTTATCCCAGTGGTGCAGAGATGGTGGGGGGGGTTGAGCAGATCCAGGAGTGGTGGGTCAGGAGCTGATCCCACCAGGGGTGCATGGAGGGGCCTCAGTCCCTTGGTGTCCCCTGTCCCACCCCAGTGGGTGCCTGGGGGTGGCCTGACCCAAACAAAGGCAAAGCTCATGTCCCAGCTCTGCTGCAGCCCCGTGGGCTGAGTCCTGCAGGGACAGGCTGCAGCAGCCTCGGGGCCCCCGTGCAAGGAGCACAGGTTTATTCTCATTTGGATTTCCATCACTTCAGACTCTTTTTTTTTTTATTTCATTTTAGTTGTAGGTCTCCCTGTTCCTCTGGATACAGAGATCTGTAGGAAGAAAGCCCTGGGTGTGACCTGCAACCTTCTTGAACCATGGACTGTAGTACTGCTCATACTGACACACGCAGACGGATCCTGGTGTGACGTAAGGGGTGGAAAAAAACACTTTTTGTCAAAAACAGAACGAAAACAAAAAAATTGCCTTAAGTATAAAGTGCAGAACAGTCAATACATATCACTCAGTTAGGAGGGGGTGGCGTGTTCTCTTGGCTTGTTCACAAGCAGCCAGCAGCAAAATTGTGCCTAAGCTTGATATTTCTTTTTTAAAAAAAAAGAACATTAGTTATGAGATTTTTTATGTAGAACAAATAGCAATGCCTTTTGGTTTTTTTTAGCTTCTTTTGCATATGTTTTGTAAGCGACGAAAGAATTTTTTTTTGTATAAAAACATGTCTTGTACCCTCCGCTTTTCTGCTGCTGTTTCTATAGTTAACGTTGCATCTTTAGGATCAACCTGAATATTAAAATTGTATTAAGAGAGACTGGATATAAAGAGAGGAATTCTCAGATTCGGCTCGGAAAGCCACTAAAAGCGAATGTAGCCACAGCAAGGGGATGTTCTTTCTTGCCTGGCTTGTACCTTCCATGACAAAAAAACAAACAAACTCATGTGCTGAATTCACCATCTCTTTGCTTCGGCCACTTCTGATTTGGGAAAAGGAAGTTAAATAGCAAAGCAAGTGGCAGGAGTGCCCCTGCTCCTCCCGGGAGGCGACCGAGGTGCTCTGCAAGGTTTGCTTTATTCCCGGAGATCTGTGGGAGAGGAGGTGCCCCACGGCTGTCCCGGAGCTGTGGGAGGGAGCAGGGATGGAAGAGATCCGAGGGACTGGGGCAGTTCCAGGCCAAGCGGAGCAGGAACACGGATGCATGAGGAAAGCCCGAGGTGGAGGGAAGCGCCCCTTCCCCACACGCCAGAGCTGCTGGAGGCACTTCCAGGAGCAGCGCTGAACAAAGACCAAGTGAACAAANAGGAGTGCCCCTGCTCCTCCCGGGAGGCGACCGAGGTGCTCTGCAAGGTTTGCTTTATTCCCGGAGATCTGCTGAGGGAGAGGAGGTGCCCCACGGCTTCCCAGAGCTGTGGGAGGGAGCAGGGATGGAAGAGATCCGAGGGACTGGGGCACTTCCAGGCCAAGCGGAGCAGGAACACGGATGCATGAGGAAAGCCCGAGGTGGAGGGAAGCGCCCCTTCCCCACACGCCAGAGCTGTCGGAGGCACTTCCAGGAGCAGCGCTGAACAAAGACCAAGTGAACAAAGCTGGAGCACTGGGAAGAGGTGGAGGCAGCAGCGGGATATGGGGCCGGGCAGCCCCGTACCTGGGGCAGGAAGGGAGCAGTGACCTGGCTCAGTCCAGCCCTGGGTAAGCCACGACCAGCAGCAGGATCCCTTCTCCCTGCACTGGAGTCACCGCCACTGGAAGTGGAAAACGCTGCAGGCTCAGGGAGAGGGGCTTCACACTCCACTGTCACCTCCTGTCACATCTCCAGGGCATCCTTGGAGGCAAACTGAGCTCGGCATGGGCTTCCCGTGGGGATGTGAGTGGGAACTTCACCTGCCTGTGGGCTCCTCTCTCCGTGCTGGGAAGGAGGGAAGTGGGAGCACCCGCCCTGCATGACGTGCTCCAGCAGCCAAGCTGGGCCAGCCATCCCTCACTCCCAAGGATTCCCAGTGTTGCTCCAGAGTGCTCAGCAGGAGGAAGATCCCTGGCAGCCCCACTGGGTGCCCCGGAGGTGTGGAGCAAACGAAGAGGTGCTGGGCAGTGCTGAGCTGCAGCAGCCGTTCTGGAGATGGCCACGGAAAAACATCCCCCGGGAATTTACTCTTGTTTCTTCCCTCTCCTTCCCCTTCTGAAACATTTTGTGCCTGGTTCTTCCCAGCTCTGCAGGCGGATGGGGCAGTTCCCCAGGGAGTGTGACATCTGGAATGCTCTTGGACTGGGGCCACAGCTGCCCAGATGTGCCTGGCAGAGCCCAGTCAGACAGGACAGTGCACGGGACACGGGTGCTGGCTGGGGGGGGACGTGGGGACGATGAGGATGGTTGGACCCCCCCTCTCCCCCACAGGGTCCATCTCTCCCCTCTGCTGCTCCAGCCTTTGCTCCTGGGGAAGCTGTGCTGCTTTGGGAAAGGGAAGGACTGGCAAACAGGATTGGGTCCCGGGCTTTGGCATAACCTCCTGGTGCTCCTCTGTGCTCGTGGCTGCACTTTGTGCTCTGGCAAACCCTGCTGGAAGTGCTTATCTCCTTCCTCACCTGGGCACTGTGGCCTCAGCTCCTGCATCTCTGAGAGGAGCCAGTCCAAGTGCCAGGGCAGCATTGGGACTGTCCCTGCTGCCCCTGGCACTGCCGTGGGGCTCCACAGCATCCAACCTTAGCTCTGAAGCTTTTGGGTGCTCCTGGCTTTCCCCAGCTTGCTGCTCCCACCATTCCTTCTGTGTGGGGAGACCTGAGACCACAGCAGCCCCCAGCTGTGTCCCCAGGAAAGCCAGGAAAAGTCAGCAGTTCCAGCAGCCCCAGGCTCTTCTTGCCTGTGTCAACAGACACATTTCAGCCTAATTAGCTTGCCAGGTTTATGACACTTCACTCCTTTGGGTTCTTCTGGCTGCTGAAGCACAGGGCAGTGAGATGGATGAGGTTTCCCTCCATGTGTGACAGTCCTTGACTCCCGTTCATGCTCTGGGGTACAAATCTGGGGGCTCAGCACCTGCTTTTTGCAGCTGTGAGAGGTGGCTTCATCCCGTGGAGAATTCCTGCTCCATGGGTGGGACAGTGATGGGGCTGCAGGGTTTCACTGCTCAGGGTTTTCAGCTGGCTCAGTGCCCCTGCCCCAGGAGTGGAAGGGATGGAGCAGTGTCCCAGGACTGGGAGGGATGGAACAGTGTCCCAGATCTGGCAAGCCTGAAACCCTACAAAAAAATTTAAAGTGCTTCCCAAACCCTTTGATTTTGCCACAAGAATTGAAGGTGGCTGTCACAGTCAACTGGATTAAAGAGACTAGTCAGGAAAAATCCAGGAACTCAACAAAATTGGAAATTTGAGAAGATTTATGAGTTATTCAAAATTTTGCTGAACTTCTTCATCCTCTCCAAGTCCTGCAGGCCAGGGGGGATTCCTGATGAGCCAGAGCCTTTCCCACCATCCCCAAACTCCCAGGCATTGCAACAGAGATGTTCTTTCTCCCTTTCACCTGCTTTCGCCCCCGAGCAAAGGAGCTGCAGCCTCCCCGAGCCTTCACCTCCCTGGGCTCGTGCTGGGGCAGTGGTGTCAGCCTGCCTGCTGCTGCTGCTGCTGCTGCTGCTCACAGCCCAGGGAGCAGAACTCCAGCTGTTTGCAGCCACCTCCCTGCCACGACCCCCCAGTCAGACCAACTCACAGCAACTGCAGTTCCAGGGTCAGTGCAGAACCTGCTCTCGAAGGTCCTTTGTGTCCCCCCAGTGTCCCCACTGAAGCCAGCAGAGCCTTTGGCCCCTGGGCCCTCACGGAGTGATTCCTCACATCCTCCCCTCAGCAGGTTGGGGGGCCTGGAGAAACAAGAGGCTTTGGAACCCCCAGGCCCTGCACCCCCTGAGCTTTGCTGCCCTTCCTGCAGCGCTGGCTAACCCAGAGCAAGCCATGGCCACTGGACTCCCCCGTTCCTGCCCCACACCAGCAATAGCAAGGCCTGTTTTCTGTCCCCCCAAGCTTGCACAAGGTCTTTGCCCTGTTAAATCCTATGCAACCCCCTCTCCTCTCACCAGGACTCTCCAGATCCCAGCCCAGCCCATTCTCTCTGCTCTTCTCCCATGACTGCTGAATTCTCCCTCCCTGCTGCTCTCAGAGTCCAGCTTCATTTCTAGCAGCTCCAAAAGCATTCCAAGTCCTGTGCCCTGGAGCTGGGAGGGGGCAGATGAGGGCTGAGACAGCAGGAACACCTCTTCCAAGTCATTCTGTGGGAGCTGAGCACTGAATTGGAGGGGGCAAGGCCTGGTGCTGGGGCCCCTCCACACCCCCTTCACCCTCCCGTGCCTTCTGCTCACTGCCATCCTTCATCCCCCGTGCCCTGAAGGGAGAAGTTGAGTCCCACTGTGTTGCTGCCCGGACTGTTCTCTTAGCACCTGAAACTCAGGCTTGGCTTGGCCGCTCTCCCTTCAGCCCCCCAAGCCTGAAGGAGTGTTTCCCTGTCTCCCCTGCTCCTCAGTCTCTCCAGCCAGCACCTCTGAGTTGTTTCCCTTGGCAGTGGGGCATCAGCTGGGGTGGAGGCAGGAGGATTCGGGAGGTCAGTCCCATGGCATGGCTGCCTCTCCCTGCCTTTGGGGCAGGTGGGGGGGATCTGGTGCTCTGTACTTGGATTTTCAGGGCAATTCAGCCCTTCCTGGGAGCCAGCACTGCCATGCCTTGGCCTGCAGGACTCCCACAGGAGGGTGGGCTCTGGTTAGGAGGGTGGTGCAGGCTCCAGGTGTTCTGCCAAACCTTTTGTGCCCATCCTGCAGCCCAGCCCAGGGCAGGAGGCAGTCCTACCGTGGCTCTCCACGCTGGTATTACTGTTCCCCTGGTTTTGTCCATCTCCTGCTCCCTGGGGCTCTCAGTTCCCACCCTGGCCCAGCCAAGCACCTGCCATGATGGAGGGCAAACAGTTTGACACTCACCCTGGTACATCTCGGCTCAGCTGTGGCACCAGCACAGGAGAGCAAAGGGGTTTTTTGCTTCCAAACAGGATGTTCTGGTACCAAGAGCACCCCCATGCCCTGCACCCCTGGGCTGTGCTTAGGGGAGCCGTGTTGCTCCTCGAGGCAGCAAGCTGGGACACCACGGGTGTGCCATCCATGTCTTCCCAAATCACTTGAACCCCCCAGCTGTGGAGCAAACCTTGTAACGTGGGGCCTCTTGGGCAGGGAAGGAGCCGGGGGAAGCCTTGCACCAGCCGTGGTTACTGTGCCAGGAGAGGGGAGAGGGGAAAGAGGCACCTGGAGAGGCAGGACAGGGATGATCCCAACTGGGGAATGACCCATGGGGTGTGGAGGGTTCCAGCTCTTGGGAATGACCTGTTGGGTGTGGAGGGCTCCAGCTCGCTGGGGAAACAAAGCATTCCTGGGATGCTCTTTCTCTATATTTTTGTAGGATGGGGGGTGGGAGAGCAGATGGGAGATGCCTGCGGAAGTTGTTTATTTTTAACCCTGGTTGGTTTTGGTTTTTGGCCTTTAAAAAAAAAAAATGGTCCTTGCTTTTGATGTTTATGCTGCCTACCTGTAAATCCAGATGTACTTAAGTGGCTGAAATCCTTGTTCTTAAATCAGATACACATTATAGTTTTGAACTATATATATAGTAAATATATATATATATATGCCTAACCCAGCAAAAAAAAAAAATAAAGTATTTGGGGGTGGGAAATGCGTTGCTCTTTGAAATGAATCACAATTGGGGGATGAAATTGTGTTTCTGAGTGCCTCAAGATATGAATTGTTTTCATTTTTTTAAATAATTTTATACAAGTGTCAAAACAGCTGGCTGG